TTTTGAGCCGAAATCGCTCGGTCTTTCTGAGTAGATGGCTAAACAGTGATCAGATTCGCCCGGATTCACCGTTGGACTAAGCGTGGTGGCATGGCATAACTTCGGTTTTACTGTCGTGACCTAACCTATCGATACCTTCCGTCAAGGAAGGCTCAGTCGCCCGACCGCTGCAGAAAAAGGCTTGGCCGAGCGACGGCTACAGAAAACGGCTCAGTCGGCGGGAGGCTGCTAAGAAAGACTCAGTTGCATTTTGGCCGCGCGACGCGCGTGCACGTTTGAAGCGCTAGGTAAAATCGGTGGTCTAAGATATACATTTTCTGAAAGCGGCAAACGACGCAGAAATGCTTCACCTATCGTTTGCCATTTTCTGAAAGTTTATATCTTATGCCACCGATTTTTGCTGGCGCTTCAAACGTGCACGTGCGTCGCGCGGCCAAAATGCAACTGAGTCTTTCTTAGCAGCCTCCCGGCGACTGAGCCGTTTACAGTAGCCGTCGCTCGGCCAAGCCTTTTTCTGCAGCGGTCGCGCGACTGAGCCTTTCTTGACGGAAGGTATCGCTATATTCTTAAAACAGATGTTCATTTACTCGCTCAGAGTCATTAGTTTTTTAAAAATCTGTAAATTAAAGAATCAACAGTATAAAACAAAAACACCATTACGAACAATTTCAGATCTTTGTCATTAAGTACTGGTGCTCCAGCTGTTTATTCCTTGATATATATTAATTAATAGCCTTTAAAATGTGTTTTTCTTTTTATAAATGTGAGCGGACATTTTGCTGAGGAAAACAGTGCTGTTGCAGGTTGCAGGCTATGCATGTTTTAAGAGCAAACTATGCACAAGCTAATATACTTTGACAAAAGACGGAACGGGGGTCCGTCGTGTGTGCGCGCGCGTGTGTGTTTATGTATGTGTGTTTGAAAGGGTCGGCCGGGTACCGTTGTGTATACAACTAAATGCGTCGCCGCGTGTGTTGACCGTCACTCTTTCTGCGTTCCTGTCGGCCCCAGGCTGCCCCGCCTTGGGTCCACATTCTCACTCATTTCCGCTTTGTTTCCCTCGCATCTGCTGCACTCACTACCTTCATATACTCTTCACCTCCGTACACATCCCGGGACGTATGCGGACGGCCGTCCCCTCGCCCTGGTGGCAGAAGTTACTGCAGCACTGTAAAATGCTTGCAAACTATATTCTTTGCAACGTTGCAAAGAATTTGTGAGCTTTGTATTGCAAAGAATTAGTTCGTATTGCAAAGGAGTTCTTTGCAAGCTGGCAGAATCCTTGCAAACAATGTGTTTGCATTGCAAAGAAATAGTTTGCAAGCTTGCGAAGAACTAGTTTGTATTACGATGCTTGAAAATTCTTTGCAAGCTGCAAAGAAAATAGTTTGCAATACGAACCTATTCTTTGCAAGCATTTTGCAGTGAGGTCTCCATACGAAACATTTATATTGCTATAACATTTTCCTGACTTTTACGGACGAAAGGAAAGTTCTCTAAACTTGTATATACGCGCTCCGCCAGAGACGCTGCTGCTGCTCCTGGATCAGTTTGTCGTTGGCCTGTAATTCATTGGCACGCGATGAGTGGGGTGAGTCCGAGCGGTCCGGTCTAACAGGACAAAGTTAGGTCAGGTCCTGCTATGCGTACCCGGCAAAACAGTGTCGCAGCGGCAGCATAGAGGCCGTGCGTTGCACACTAATGGTCTACAAAAGGAAAAATCAAACGATGCAAAAAAGTAAAAAAGTAGTCTCACTACTGTGAGATGTTTTATCAGGAGACGGTATAATGGTGCGGATTTGTTTTCGGCGAGTAGGGTACGTGCGCTGTCGCTGTTATCCGTGACGTGCGCACACAACATACAAGAACCCTAAGTTATGACTATAATGCGTGGGAGCGAGGCGGTCATTTGCATAGTCAGATTGTAATTGCACGAAACAATATCTTCCTGTCGGCCAAGATACCCTCAGACATTCGCAGCTTGTTCGATCCGCTACGCCGAGACTGCCAGAGGAAAACGGTGAAAAGAACATTTGTCACGGGCCAAAAGCAACCAAACCAAAATTGGATAACAGCTCGACGTACGTATTGCGCTGCATTGAAATAAATTTTTAAAACAGAGACAAAGGGACATACAGCATCCACGTAGGAAATGTTTGCAAAAGCAACTGTTTTTTTTATTAGGTATTAAAACTAAAAGTTTGCTTGAAAGGGCGTTTTGTAAATTGTCTTTGGTGACTGTCCGCGCCGCGCGAGGTCGCCGCGCATCTCGTGACGAAAGTGAAACATCTCACCGCCCTTTCCGTCGGCGCGGCCGCTGGCTGGCCGCCGCTCCGCCGCTCTGCCTGCTCGCTGCCCGGCGCTTCGCAAAGCTTTCCGGACCAGATCTCTCTTTCTGGAAATGTCCTCCGGCCACGGCGCGCTGCGAGAGGGGCGTGCCGCTGGCGGCGAGAAGCTGTCGTCGCCGGCTCACTGACCTTCATCAATAATGTCAATGGCACGGGCGTTAGGTGCTCCGCTGATAAAGACGGTCAAACTAGATGAGGATCAACTACTGAGTTGTTGGCAAAAATAATGTGGGACTTAGGGTTCGCGCAGTTCGCAGTACTGTTGTTTGGAATGGTTTTTCCGGTGAGCCGTTCGTAACTGAATGAGAATTCCTTCGCATACTACACTAATACTCCCAAATACACCCAGAAAAGTGGATTCTTGAATTGAGTTCCGGTGCTTGACAGGTTGAGGACAGGTACTTGTTTTGAGAATATTTTACTCAATTTGATCTAAAAAAATTCTTAAACCAAGTCCTGGGCCTCAACTTGTCAAGTACCGTACTCAAATCAAGTATCCACTTTTTTGGGTGTACTTCGTACACGTTACGAGCATGCTGCAGCTCTCTGTAAGAAACTCTTCCGGCGAGTATCCTCTGTGTGCGCCCCCGGGCCTCCCCGCGCGGCTCCCGGATGTCTGCGACGCACCGACGCATATTTGTGTAGCGACAGCGAACTCTCGCCAAGCAGGAGACGGTCAGCCAGGCGACGGCAAGCCGCGGAGCCGGGGCGGGACCAATCCTACTTCATGGAAAAAAAAAGTTATACGTCTTCCCGTTTGATATTTATTGCTATTTGATCAAAGATGTCCAGTCTGAAATTTTCTGTAGTTTTAAACATTAGCGTCCTTCTGTAAACACAAATTTTCTCTAGACTAGCCCGCGTCTGTGCCCCCCTCTCTCGAGTTCGACTCGGGGCCGGCAGTGGCAGTGGCGCAGCGGGCTACGATGCGGTGCGATTCGCTGCTCGCCAGTGGCCGATAAAGTATACAAGGAAACGGTACAGCGATCCCCGCATGCGAGGACCGATCTCCGTTCCGCGGCGAGTGCCTGGGCGAGTGCCCGGCCGCCACCGGACCGGTGCCTATCCGAACTCTAATTAAGAGCGGCTCCGGTTGGGGTGCCGGCCCGCGCTGGCTCATGCTCCCGCCAGTAAGCGCAAGGAGCCAGCTTCGGCTGGTCTCATGCTGGTCGAGTTTTGCGTCAGCCCTACGTCACGGCGGTGTCACGCACCCCTGCGCCTGCCAGCCAACGAGGCGAAAAGGCTAAAGGAAGGGGGGAAATAAAAAAGACGACCTAATGCCCAATGGGTCTATTGGGGGCCCGCCAGGCCAGGACGCGCGCGAGCCGCAGTCATGGATGCAAAAAAGAAACTGACGATGCGGGAAACAGCTTGTTTTGCGTTGATGTATTCGTCTCCAGAAAAAAAGGGAAGGGACATTTTTTTGTTTTGTTTTCACTTTGCTGTTTTTTTCCCTCTCCATCTTGGCGACTGGTCGTCGCCGCGTTAGGAGCGCGTCAGGGGGGTCATCGGCGCTTATCAGTATCGAGAGGATCGATGGCGCGGAGCGAGAGAGGGGACGGAACCCCGTAAACGATGGTAATGCTGTGAGAGTCTGCGCCCGCACTGTTCCCATGGGCCCATGGCAGGCCATGGCCGGCCGCCAGGAGGGGCCACAATGCGCCTTCGCTTTCTTTTGTTTGATTGTTTCTCAGGCTATTTACATTCCCCGCGAGCGGGATGAAGTGCAAACTGCGCGAGACGTATTACTCACCCGGTTACGTACCGGCAGCGGCTCCGTGGGGTGGGGCGTGGGGCGGGCCGGGGCGGGAAAGGGGTACAGGGCGGGGCGGCCGACAGTTTCGCGGTGAATGGTATATGGTGCGTGTGTGTGTGCGCGCGCGGGGGGGAGGCTGATACACGCATTGTGTTGTTGTGGAGCCGCCTCGCCTGATGAGGCATGGGACTCGACAAACGGAATATAAGTAGTGCGTGCGTTATTGCAGCTGATTCTTCTCTTTCTCCCTCCTCAGCTTTATGGAGTGCATTCCACGATGCGCTGTTGGGCTATAGAGCGTATGTGCTGTTCGCAACTCGATGTCAATCACCACGCCCGCACAATATCGCCCATTCTTTCTCTTTCGGTTCGACCTCGACCGCAAGTTTTTGTTTTCGAATTATGGCGATGGTAGCAAGAGCATCGTCTGTGTCTCCCTTAAGCGGGACCGATCGTGGTTGGTCGTCCCACTCCCACTCCCTGCATAAACTATAATGCACCACTCCCCGCTTCCCTATCAAATTGTGTAAAATTTCTATCAAGCCTAGAGGCATTAGAAACCCCATGTAAAACTCAAAACTTGTAAGAGAATAAGAACAATAAACCATTGATAAACGAAAAACCCCGTTGCGGCAACGCCACTAGGTCCCCATGTGGCTCTCTGGCACTACTGGCTCCTATTACGGCCTCGCTACTGGCTCTCGGTGCGGCTGTGGCACTACTTGCTCCTAGTGCAGCCTCGCCACTGGCTCCCCGGTGAGGCACTACTGGCTCCTGGTAGGGCTCTGCTAGCTCCTGGTGCGGCTCTCACTGGCTCCACCTGCTGGAGGAGAGCCGCGCACCGTCACGCCGCTCATGAATAATACTCATCCTCGTTGCCGCTGTTGTTGTTGCAGGTCGCAGGCCGGCGAACATGGGGTGTTGAGGGCATCGACGAGGAGGTGAAGCACTTCAAAGGCAGCCGGCCGGCCACCGGCACGCATCTGTGAGTATAATCGCATACGCTATTACCGGGCTAAATATTGACGGATGACGGATCAAACTGTGTGTGTTGGTGCGTGCGTGCGTGCATGCGTGCACACCAGCCTAGGGAATGTCATTTGGGGCCCCTCTTCCTCCTTCGTCTTCTTTCGTGTCTCCACGCCATGGGAGCGCAGCCAGAGCGCGCTGGAATCTTGTTGGTTCCGTTTCCTATCGTTGGCTCGGGATGAGTCGAATCCCCGCGCGCCGTCGGTCTCCACCGTCGTGGTCCTGTCTGCCTGCAATGTGTACCACTGGGCCACAATTCTGCATACCGGAGCCCCTCAGCACGCCGCCCCACCCCGCCCCGCCGGGAACCATCGCGCGAAGCAAGCTCCGGGGGCCTCGTCTGCCTGAGCCCTGAGCTGGGCTCGGCTGCTGTAACACTGTTATACCGTTTATACAAGACGTGACGGTCGGAGCACGGCAGAGCGAGAGAGACGGCACGAGGACCCAAGGGGGCAGGGGGCGGGCGGATCGCCGCCGGGCTGACCAGGAGTCTATAATTTGACCCGTTTATGTCCAAACCGAAGCGGGGCTCGGGCGATGAGGCGGCGCAGCACCGGCGCACCGCCCCTCCCAGCACCCCGACTTCGACTCTTCGTTTTCTCTATATTTTGTCCCCCCAAGCACCATCTTCAAATTTCGTTTCGTTTGAAGACACACCACGGCCTACGCTCTCTGTCCCGCTCGTCTGTTGTTTTAACAGAGAGGAATGTTCGTATCTGTACTCGTTGGCTGGAGCGGGGGGACCGGGCGCCGGGCGGGCGAAGCATGCAGCCCCGCAGGGCGCGCGTGTGCGGCGGGGCTGCCGACCCCCGACTTGGCAGGCGCTCGCTCAGCTCCGCTCCGCTCACGGCAGTCCGAGTGGTCACCTCGGCGGACGCGGGCATAAACTATACTCGCTTGGCGCGGCGGTGCCGGGTGATGGGAGGAGAGGGGGAAGGAGTTGGGAGTGGAAGAGAAGAGGTGGGGCGTTTCATAAATAACTATTCACATAGAGAATGCGGCCGTTAAAATACACGGCGCGTCATAAAACGGCGATAGCCACGTTTTATCGGTGTCATCAAATCAAAAGTCTTCCTGCCGACGGCGGATATGGAGGTTGTGAGCTGGAGAACTCAATTCAAAGCGGAGTCGTTGTGTAGTGATGGCGTAGTCTCCCTGCTAGTGTTGGGACCAAGGACTGGGCATTCGCTTTTAATAATACGGCTATGATATGTCACTGACGCCTAAACGAGTTGACTTTGATCTTATTTATCCACCCAATGTTGTTTTGAGTGTGTGTGTGTTTCTTTCTTTCTTCTGATTTTCTCAATGGGTTTGCCTAGGATTCCGAGCATGGGCCCGGAGCGGCCGCCCCCTCCCTTGCATCACCGAGGGATGGAGGGTCCACAGCCCCACGAGCGGCCACGGAGTCCGCGCCTCGAGCCCCACCGCACCGCCACCGGCGTGAGGTGGAGAGGGACGCACCTACTAGCGGGGCTCTTCCTCCTGTGTGCGACGGTGAGTTACGCGTATCAACCTGATGGTTCAAAAATCCTCTCTCAAAACGTTTGTGGAAGCTATGCTCCGTTTGGGTGTTTCATCATAATCGTCTAAGTCTACGAAACTTCTTAGTTTGTTTTACATATGTATGACTTTTTACTGGTGTACCCTTCTGTCTCACACTTGTCTGTGTAACGGTTTTCACGCACCTGCCAAAAGTTTGAGAATGTCCGACTATATATTATTTAGTGACTGAAACAGGAGGGCATGACCAAAACGCAGGGAAAAACATAGTAGCACACAGTAAAAAGAGCTCTGCCCGCAGACTACCTCCAGCAACGGCATGTCGCACAGCACGACGGAGGAGGTGGGGAGGGGGGCTAGAAGAGGCAGGGAAGGGACTGACCACGCCGGGTCTCGAGATAAATCACATAACACAAACGGAAAATTCTCCCCGAGATCACATCTTGACTGCTGTTTACGCTCGACGGTCGTGTTCATTTTTTTTTATCAACCCTTGTAGATTGGACAAAACTAGCACTTTTATCACGACACCGTCGTAGATTCCAAACGGTGTGTCGCTCTATTATCGTTCGAGGCGGAGTTGCCGGTTTTATTGTCCTTTTTGGCGTGTGACAAATGTGGGCGAGAACGAGATTCATCGGGCAGTGGGTGCTATCGTAGTGGGGACCTCACAGGGACCTCACAGGGACCTTATAGCCCCGCGTGGTAAACCCGGCCCGGGCATCCCGCTATGTCCCTTAGTTTCCTGTCCGAGAATGCAAGTACAGCAACATGTAAAAAACATATTTCTAAAAGAATTTTTATCCGATTAAAGCCTAAAATAACAGGTGCATTCCAAGTTCGTAACTTACTAATTACGCAGCTGTAAACAAAATGTTGATCACGCTTGTAACACTACCCTCTTTTCAAATTTCATGACGTTCGTTATGTGAATTTGTGTCTAAATGCTTAATTCTATTAATTCCGTGCAGTTTTATTTTTCGATTACTTTGCGCAATGTCTCTACAGTGCCTATATTGCCGAGAAATTGGGTTGATTTTGGTCCCCCCGCGCGTTCCGTCTCCTCCGCTTCCCCAGCAGGCCACGCCCGGCCGCGACACTGTTTGTAGAGTGAGTTAGAAGCGGCCCGGCCCGGCGCGGCCCCCTGGCGACCCGCTGCTACCCGCTGCCGGGCCTGCTGATGCCGGAGAAAGCTGCTGTATCAGCATCTCGGGGACGAGGATGCCTCCCCACTCCTGACCCCCCCC